CTGTATTAGACTAACGAACAGTGAGGGATACAAAATCAATCAACTTTAACCTAATCACAAATGAGCCTTACCTCTACAAAAATAAGAAAAATTACATATAGAGAAAATTGAAAGGACACAAAGGCAGAATAATTGCTAAAGATTTCATCTCAGACAGAATAAAGATATTTGTATTTCTCAAGACACCAAAAAACTGCATGCTAAGATAGCCATGAAGGCACCAAGAGAAGGATGCTCTTCAATCACAACAAAGCAAAATCACAAACTGTGACCAGCTATATAAGTACTATAACATTATGTTCAGAGATAAAATATCACAGTGTTTCATCTCAAGTTGAACTAACACTACTATCAACACCATGTGTTGATAAATGGCATTTACTGTAATTCTACAGCTATCCACAGCTTTTATTCAGCCCAGTATATTTTATCGTAGACAGTATATCCTGTACTGAATCAAAATAAAAGGTCCACATCTAACAACCAGGTGATCTATCATCTGTGTGCTTCTTAACAAAAGCACTGGATCAATTCCTGCCCTCATCAGCTCAGCAAGGGAACGTAAAATAGCTGCTATTTGACTTTCTTGCTTCAGGAATCCTGCCAAGTTGAGCACAACTGGTCACAGCAAGCAGATGAAGTACATTCCACTAATTCACACAAGATGCTAACGTTTCCCTGTCTGCTTCCCAGCAGCAGACAAAAGCCTCTTACATCTCAATGGAACTTTGCGCAGTAAAAACAAGACAGAATCTTTATAAACAAACCCATATTAAAACTGTAAATATACAATTTTTCCCTCTATATCATGAATACACTTGGCAAATTTACACAGCAGTTTTTAATAAACTTCATGAACAAGGTACAGAAGAGGACAAAGTATGCTGATAAAAACAAGTCTAAAGACATCTAAAGTAATTGTGTCCTTGAAGCCCTCAAAATCAGAACTTAAAAAGAGAATACAGATGTACAGAAGCACAGTAAATCTCATCTGTCAGCTTCTACAGAGTCTGTGCCTCCATTTAAAAAAACAACAAATACAGTTATTCTGAAAAAAGTCACAGATACACAGATGGAGGGTGGCAATTGCATCTACAAACAGCTTTAAATAATATCTTCAACACATCATTCATTTAAGAAAGGGGCTAACTGATCTACTTTCCAGATCTCATGTAACGAATTGAAAACTTGTTAACTATTTACCTCCTCTGCAAAGAAAGCATACACAGGGCAGCACCTATCATTAATATCAATTCATTGGCATCAACAAATTGCAGTTGAAATAAGTTATTTTTATAAGCTAGTCAAAACAACACTGAAGATCTCCAAAAACCTAGGAGTTAACTTAAAGAAGTGAGTTTATCACAGCAAAAATAATCCATTCTGTTCAAATTTATTGTGAATTTTACATTATGCTATTTTGGTAATTAATGTTTGCATCCTTTATTTCATGAGTGGAACATGAAAGTTAACCTCTCAGAGGTCCAGCTGAAGATTTCAGCCAATACTACTTGATCACATCAAGACTGAAGGACATTTTTCAGCTTAAATTCACTTTACATAAATATGTTTCCTTCTTTTGAGCAAACAGGAAAACTACATTTGAGAGAGAGAGAGAGATCTAAAAAGATGTAACTTCTGGTTTCTATTCCTTTAAGTGTTTTTGAATGACTGACAACTCATTTCCAGGCATCTTTTGACTGTAACTTAAACTGCCACTTCTGTACCTTGCTTCCTGGTTCTGGGCTGCCTACTAATTTTTGATGGTATTCTAATAAAAGGAACCCTTCCTACAAATACACTTGGATAAAATCCTTTCTCCAAAGATTCAGACCCTTTTCAGTCTGAAATGCGGAGAACTAAGTATATATTGGATTCAATGAACACATTAGCAGAGATTTCCACAGAAGTAGCAAAGAATTTTCTGCCTTTGGGCATTCTGAAGACAAGATGAACTTTCCAATATTTTGAAGAAAAACTAATATAGAAAATACACAGCTAAGAACACAGAAACATGGTGAGTTACATGTTACAGCCAGAAGGGTATTAGTGATACTGTTCAATGAATGTCCAGGAGTGCAGCCTAATAAACCAAATGTATTCAACATTTCTGGTTCTAATACATTTCTAAAGTGTTCTCATATTCCTATACAAACTATCAGAATCTCATAAATGAAGTGTTCAAACAGATATTTTTAAAATACATTAAAAAAAGGAAAAATAATAGAAGTAAAACTATTTATTAGGGCTACTACATTCATAATAAAATTTCCATTTTCCTCTTTTAGTGTGCAGCTAACCAAATCTCATACACTCAACATACACTTTTTGATTCACCCTTATAACAACGTTTGACCTTTCAGTTCCAAAATGCCAGAATCTATATTGGCACTGAACCACAATTCATCTGGCTGACTGCAACAGCCTGTGCTTATCTCCTCTGGAGGAGTCAGCAGACAGACACACAACATTTGTTCAGCACATTACATGATTCCTGCAGTCCATTAAAATACTACATTGTATGGCACCAATGCAAAATGCAAATAATAATTTTCATTAAGAATAAAAAAGCACAGCAGGTACTGCAATATGAGCTGAGTAAATTTCTTGTGTTTCACCAGAAAGTTTTTGCTCTAACACAAACTTTTTCAGTTACAATGCATGATATCTACAGGTACAATTTCCTACACTAAAACAGACTAAGGTGCTTCAGCTACAGTGAGCAACACCTCTAAGTTTCTATAGATAAATTTCAGCTTTTACAAGAACTTGTAATATAAGCTCTAAACCAGCAAACAATCATGTTTACTAATCCTTAAACTGCCAAGAACATATGCAGTAGGAAAAAAGTCATGGATGGTCCAGCTTTATTAATACAGTTTTAAGTAAACTACAATGAAAAAAAGAAAATGCATACTAATGAATGTATAATCCTGAATACAAGGACTGACAGTTCAGCTTTCTATACTCTGAACAGTATTGACCTGAGCAATAAAAAATGAATGCAGTGGATCAGTACAGCTTTTGACATCAGATACCAGTGCCCCAGGGAAAGCTGACCCAAAGCACAAGGAGTTTTAAGCAGCAAAGCCATAGCAGCAACAATGTGTACTAGTGCCTCTTTTGGACATGACACTCAAAAACAATTACCATACTATACCTTGAATTGACAGAACTTTAGAACGTATATTCTGTTTAGTTCTCTATAATGAAGGCTAGAAATAAAACACTTCGATCAGTTCAGCATATGCATCTGTACACATATTGTATTTCATTTGTCCTTCCATCACACAAGCACTCAATATCAAACACTGCAGTGCTGAAGGCCAATCTCTTCTGTTTCCAGAAGGTTTTTTTTAATCCCTTCAAAATACATTTTCAGTGCATATTATTAAGCATCCTGAAAAAGACTTCTTATTGCCCTGTATTTAGATAGACTTTGTCATTTAATTAAAAAGGAGATAAACCATCTACAGCTACTTTGATATGCACTATTGTCAAAATCCATAATAATTTTAAACTATTTTAACTGAGTATTTTTAATAAAAAAGTGTCTGCATTAGTTTGAATAATTCCTTAAACATTACAGATTGTTTGTACATTTCTTTCTCATTTTCAGTGTTGCAGAACTGGGAATACTTCGTCCGCTTTACATGACACAGGAATTGTCTGCAAAAATGAATTGCTGCATTTAGTTTAAGCTCATTCGAGGGAAGACACTAATGCTTTCAAGTGTTTATTGAGGAAATGTGTTTAATTTGAGACATCTAACTGATGGTTTTAATTTGTAATAGTGCCATCAGTCAGGCCATGAAATATTAGAAGTTTAATTTGCTCTCCTTTGCTCCTAAAGATTAAACAGTTACTTGCTTGATTTTGGCAGACTAGAAGGTGTGTGATCTACACTTCATATAAACAATATATCAAATAAAGCACTAAAGCCCTTGTTAACTTTTTTCACTGCATCACAATTACTGATGTGGAGTGGTTATGTTCTGTGGAAAATACTAAGTTCAAATTACTGGTATCTTTCTGAAAGTGAAAAGCTTATTTCCTGATATGGAAAAGGTAAATGATGACTTACAGGAATGACATGCATTATTCCTTATTTCACTCTTTCCTATTCTAAACAAAGAATGTGGAATAGGGTCCTACACAAGAAATCTATGTTTAAAAGCTCAGTTGGCTTAGATTATATGACCTAACTTCCACTCTTTTGAGTATCCATTAGGACTTGGCCTTTCTCTTCACTATCCTACACCCTTCTACAGTTGCAATTTTTACTTTTATATGGCATACATGTCTCTGTACTTAAGCATCTTGCCAGATGCTCTAACTGCATGTTCCAACTGCAAAAATTCAGCCCTTAAACCATCTTCCAAGTTTTACTTGCCAAATAGCAGCTTTACATCTTTAAGGTTCCAGCATTCACTCTACTGCACACCCGTGCAAACTCTGCACCATTCCAAGTCACAAAGCTCATATCTTGCATCTAAGCTTTCGACAAGTCCTATTGACACCTAATGACATCCTCAGACTTCTTCTGTATTTGAGTCACATTATTGTACTCTCCCCTTCCTCTCATAATTCCAAAAAATAGATCATGTAAAGAGTCAGAGCAGTCTTGGCAAGCAAAACTATGCAGGGCTTTGATAAAGCAATTACTCTATTTCCAGTGGACACTTTCATAGCACTCTAGTAAAAAGCTTATTAATGTTAATATTAACTAGTTTACTAGCTTATTAACACTATTAACTAGTTAACCTGTTGCTTAACTAGTAATAAGGATGAAAGGAGTTGTTACAAAATACACAGGGCAACAGAAAAAAAAGTAAAAGGCATAATATGTCTAATATACATCTGAGAAAGGAATCAAGAGAAAGGAAATTTGGTTGTATGGACTCTCACCCATGCTGGGTTAAAATCCAATTGGGAGAAAACTACTCTGGATATTTTCATTTGCAAAAGAATGACAGTAATTTTCATTGTTTTTTAGTTACCTGATAAGACAACTTCAACTAGGTCTCCTTCTTGGATATCTGCAGCTGATTTCACCAACTGGAGAATGTTTTCAGAGGTAGGGTCATGGCGGAAGAGCAAGATTTTGTCGTACATTCCATAAAAACCACATTCGGGAAACTGCAAACACAAACCCATGAGAATTCACTATGCTGTAAAACACATAACTGTAAAATACAAAACTGCAAAACACAATGAACGTATAAGGAAATTTTGAGGGCAGACCGGATCACTTCTCAGACTAGTATCAAATAGGATATTTATTTTTTCATCTATGAAAATATTTATCATTATATTCTGAAATGTTTTTACCACCAAGCAAGTAAGCTCATTTGCCTTTTTCTTCCTGTGAACAATGCAGTATCCACTAGGAAATGAGAGAGAAGCGACTGTATCTTGCAGCCACTACTGGTAACTTTTTCCTCACTCGAGTTCCTGAGTAAGATGATTTAATTAGACCTGGAGCAGCTGTTTGGACTAGACGTTCTTTGGAGTGCCCTATATTATATTATTCCATGATTCTATGATGTCTCCCCAGATGTCTGCCCAAAAGATGCCTTGAAGCCAAAAGAAATATATTTTAGCTCTGCTTAAGATGCAATGCTTAAACAACAACTCAGTATGAAATATCTGGTTTTTGAGACTGAAGTTACCAGGCACATAAAACAATGTTTCAAAACAACATTTCAAAATGTAATCATAATCTTTTGTTTCGATGCAGAGAAACTGGAGCTTCACAATCGTATTAAATCCTATTTAAACTAAAAAAGGTTTTTTTAAAACTTCTGAGATTATACACTGGAGATTATCATCTAGGTAACTGTTTTCCTTTTCTTTTTTTGTTTTCTGAAGCAAAAAAAAAATGTGCTTTTTTCATACTCCCAGCCTAAAGAATTGAGACTTTGTTCTGAAAACACAACCAAGAGACCCTTTCTATGTTACAAGAGAATCCACTCAATTTTACATCAATGCACTACTCCATGTTTTGGCAACATGCAATGAAAAAACACAATGACAAGTACAGCCAGAGAAATAAACTGGTATGTTTTGAGGTTACACACAAACACAGTGGCATTCCTAAGAATTTTCTTTATAGAGGCAGTGAAATATTATTCTTCAAAATGGGAACTGCTGATCCTTTTCAAAAAAATATTTGCAATATTACACATTCTACGTATGTATGTAGAAATATGTGCATCATGAGGTACAAGTTATTATATTCTGTAGAAAAAAGTAAATTCAACCACAGCATTTTTGGATAAATTACATGCAAGAAATCTTCTGTTTGAATTAGTTTTCCCCAGACACACTAATCTCACGTCAAAACAGTCATTTCGATGGTGTGATTCTCAAGCACTGTATAAGGACCAACTGTTGCAACAGTGACAAAAATTCCTTCAGCTAAACTTCTTCTTGCCAACAATAATGCTGATATGCACAGACCAAAGTAAACACAAAGAAGCCACGATGCTTGGTATTACACCACCACAAACAGCACTCAGTTCTGCTAAACAGGAGACAAGGCAGGGAATTTATGGTATTGGAGCTAAACTGCCCAGTACCAACAGAAGGCCTTCTTTCAGTGTAACAGCTGCTTAAAGCAGAATTACCAGAGTTAAATAGTCATTATAATGGCCATAGTGAGGAAATACAGTACATGTGTGTCATGGTTTGAGCCTGGCACAGAGCCAGTGCCCCCATGAAAATGCCCTCACCCTGGTGTCTGCTGTGAGATGTGACCAGGAATAAGCAAAACAGGCTCCAGCTTAAACATAAAGAACACTTTATTACCTAAACTACAGGAAAATAGGGAAAAACTATAAGGAAAAGGAAAAAAAAATTGAAAACCTTACAAAAAAACCACTTTCCTCCTCCCCACTACCTGAATTTCCCAATCCGATACATTCTCCCAAATCACCAACTGCCCAGCCTGGCACCACACTTTAGTATACTCAAACTTCAGTTCATGAAGAGGAGAGGAGTCCTTCTTGTTCCATAGGCTTCCCCTGGAAACACGCTGAAACCTCTGTGCTTCCAATGTCACTCGGCACCGCCCGGAAAAAGTCCTTTTGCCGCTTGTGACATCTTCCTTCCATGCTCAGTGCTCTCACCACCGTGCATGGACCAGAGCTGCTTTTAGGGTTGTCTTTCAAGGATGCCTTGTCTCACTCCAAAAAGGCACAGTCTCTGCTTTGGGACATCTGTCCTCCCCATATTTTTCCAACCCCCTGGGGCCGAGGGGTCCTCACGATGAACCCTCCTGGTTCTGAGCCACTGCTTCCCCCCAAGTGCAGTCTCTGTGTCACAGGAACAAACTGAGTCCATGGCCACAAGAAAAGTCCAGCCAAAAGGCCACTCCAAATCATCTCTCCCCATTCAATCATCTCCACGTTCTTCGGGCCAGGTCCTTGTCTCATCTCATCTCCTATCTCCCTTCTTATTCAGCTTCGAGGAGGATTAGCATTTTTGCAAGGCCCCAATCATGAAAGAAAGGGGTTAAAACTTTCAGTCCCTGTCTGTCCCGGAGCTGCGGCACTCCCACACACGCTGCCGCTCCGGCCGGGCACTCTTCCCCCCTCCTTCTCCTCCTGGGCCGGCTGCTATCACATTCGGTGTCACCGGCTCTCCTCTCTCCCTCCTGGCGGGGGGGATGGCTGCCCGAGGGCTGACTCCCTGGGCTCTTCCACCCTTCCATCCTCGAGGGCCTCCTCACCCCCCATCTCTGTCCAGGCCCAGGGCCTACCACGTGGCTGCCCCTCCCCCGCCCAGCAGCAGCGGCTGGACAGGGGGGGGAGATCTGACCTCTTCGCCTCGACGTCCCAAGAGAACCTCCCAGGGCCAGAGCTCTGCTTTTTAACCCCTGTGTATTCTCGGAGGTGTGTCCAAACCCCACTGGCTACACCAGGTGCCAGTATCAAACTCAGAACATCCATTGGTTTGACCACAGCTTCCCAGAATTCCCACCTCTTCCTGGTCAAACCACCACAATGTGTAAGAATCAGAAGTGGAAGACTTGCTTACAGGTTCAGAAACAGGATGTATTTCTGGCTGCTTAACAAGTAATCAGTAGCAATTAAGACATCAAAGCTGTCCATAAACGCCTTGTTTGCCTACTCCAAGTGAGAAGCAAAATGAATCACTTTAATGGCCTTTCAGTGTGCTTCAGTTTACAAGTGGAACTGGGTAAATGACCTTTACAGCATAATAACTTGCTTAACTGCCACAGTTTAGCTGTGTATTTCAAACATCTCCTGCCTCCCCCTTTTTAGAAACAGAAATATTAGATTTTTAACGTGATCACTTACCAGAAATTCTAGGTTCCAGATTTAAAATTTAGCAAAATTTCTAAGTCAACTCAAGTCGATCCACAGTGTTATTTATTAGATACCCTCCTGTCTTGGTTTGAGAAAATGTGAAGGGAAACACTCTAAAATGAGTTCTCCCCCCTTGCTTTAACCAATCCCTTTCCACCAATAAGCAGAAACAAAATATGAACAGATACAAGTGAAAAAATAAATTTACTAACAAGTAAAACTACAACAGGCAAATAACAGACTTCTATTCCAACCACTGAGCATTAAAATGAATGCTGTCTAAACACCTGCATAGAACATATCTTACATGATATTGTAGTAGCTGTTACGGTAAAAAGAGGAAGTGCTACTATCATTTGAAGTCACCTGTATGTAATAAGCACACAAACTGTGTGCTTCTTCCATTTTCTAAAAATATTACATCACTATTATCTACCCATAAGACTTTAAAAGAAATACAAAATAAAATTATGTTTTTCAGATGAAAAAGACTACTGATCAGGATCTCAAGTTACTATAAGTCAATTTTTTATTGCCCAGATTGTGGGCACTCTGGCAGCAGATCATCCATAAAACAGGGTAAAAGGAGCCTCAGCACTAATCCTTCCTCAGCAGATACAAGCAATGAATCAAGCAATGAAGTGTTTTTACCCTTAGCAACTGTAAATCTCGAGAAAATCCACCAAAATATTTTACCAATAACCAAGTAGAAGACAAGTGATTATGTAAATTCTGGATTTTCAATTAAAAACCTTCAAGTGTTACTACAAAAAAACAAAAAGTACACTCAAATTTCAATAACTAGAATATCTAATTTTAAAGATTCAATAATTCATTTAATCCACTATCTATCACATCAGTCAGTAATTTCAATGGCATTGGTCCCTCCACATGCAAATATGAGCTGAATTATGTACAGGCATAACTGTGCTGTTATTAACAGTTTTCCTCAAAATAAGGATCAAAGAGGGGCTGACAGAAGAAAATGCTGGTTATATTTAAAATTCTATTTATTGTGACAATCAAATGGTTTTATTATTAGAGACAGAAACTTTACAAGACCTGATATATGTAAATGCTAACATATTTCGAAATTGAACTGTGAAGCTTTCAAAAATTATGAATAATAACCAATCATATACACGGTTATCTGAATGGAAACCTACTCTGCCTCCTTTTCTGGTAAACGACAATTTAGAATGGAAATTAACTTCAGAGAAAGATAAGACTCTCTAAGGTGAGACAACACTTCACCAGTTTGGTTTAATAAATATGTATTAGAAAGATCAGCATAGTAGCTATGTCAAATGAAAACCACATGAAAAATAAATTTCTTCCACTGAAGAACTTAACCTAGAAGAACTGGAAAACATATACTCTAAACAATGATGATGCTTCATTTCAATTAATAATGTGGTCCAATAGTCAAAAAAGTCTGTTGCTGTGATAATTTTGCAAAAATACTTCTTTTGACATAATAAAATTGAAACATACAGGCAGACAGATTCTCATTGCTAAGAGTGAAAAAAAGTCATCTTCCTGTTTTTGTCTTTTTATATGTTACTACAATTTTACACATCTTCTGTGAGGGTTAGTTTCTGTTGCTTTATTCTAGGAAGTCGTGACAGTTGTTTATTTACTTTTTTCAGTCACCACTGAACTTTTCCTTAAAATTAAACTGTCTCTTTTAGTGATTTTTTTTTTTCTTCTAGATTAGTTAGATTTTTAGAAGCCCTTAGTGATTTTCATATCAGCACCTGCAACAAAAACTTTGATAAAACCTGGAAGACTTTTACAGCACCAAGA